CAAAGACATGAGGGACAAAAAACAAAAATGCTCTGAGCTAGTTTGGGCTTCATACAGCTAACAGCGATCCATTAAAATGTGCCTGCACATAAATTTAATACCTCTTATTGTGAATAAAAAGACATTTTTACACATTTTGTGAAGTTTAATTCACATTTACATTGACCTTTTTCCCCTTAAGCTCCTGCTCATCAAAATGTCTGTGCATGGGACTAGTTATAGAGACTCACTGTTTATCACCTAGGCTGAAAAACCCAACATAAGATGTAATCACTAATGACGGAAATATCAATTCACAGGTTTACTACCAGAAAGGGAAACACAATATGCTCCGATCCAGAGAGCAACTGGGCCAAATATGTCATGTGTGTGGTGGACAAAAGACAAAGCACCAACAGAGCAGAACTGAGCTGTAGAGGGCTACCAACTGTAAACTGGACAAAACCTGCTACTCCACCTATACCAGCTACAAGGACAAATACAGCGGGCACAAGAGCCACAACCTACTCACTGATGAAGAAATCATCAACCCTTAGTGAAAGGAATGGTGGGTCTGCTCATATAGAGGAAAAAGGCACACCATCTTCAGCAGTTCATGACCAGCCTCCAATCGAGAACACCATGTTTTGTATAAAGAGGGTGCCAAGCTGAAAATACTGATTCCTAATTTTGTATCAACCATTCATTATTTCAACCATACATTGTTTGACATGTGACTCTGTCCAGTTAGTAAAAATTAGTGTTAAATACTGTATGCAGCATAGATTTGGTCCTCAATTTAACCCTGTTGAATTGAGCGTTTTCCACAGATTTTCAGTGATGTTCTAGTCAGGGACTGTGAGGGCCAGTCCAAAAGATTTAGTTTTTGAGGTGTGTTTTGGATCATTGTCCTGTTGTCACTAACAGGAAAAGAGGCCAGCCTCTTTTCAGCTTCAGCTTTTGAGTCACATTTGCTTCTAGAATTTGCTGATTTTTGGTAGAATCCATTCTTCCATTCACTTGAGGATTGATTCCTGTGACACTGGCTGCCACACAGCATGATAGATCCACAAAAATTCAAAGTTGACAAGGTGTTCTTTTCATCAAATGCTGCTCCTTGTTTCCCCAACCATATCTTTGGTGATTGTGGCCAAAGAGATCCATCTTTACTTCAGTAGTCCTCAGCACTTGTTTCTAAAATACATCTGGCTTATCTAGATGTTGTTTTATAAACTTTAGACGTTGACTTTTGTGATGAGGTCACAGGTAAGGTGTCCTTCACCTTACAAGCTGCTTAGAGGAGTCCATGATTGGTGAGTATTAGGTTCAAAGAGTCAGAAAATGTATTACACTCTGAAAATGTCATCAGCTGACAATTCCTGATGCACTTCTTGATATTCCTAACCAGTCCTCGCTAGTCCAATAAGGCCTAACAAGTTAATCAAGTTCTGAGACTTTTCCCAATGTTCGCACATTCCACAATTGCTATCCTACATTTTATACTTTTTAAGTTAATCAAATATAAAGTAACTGTACATAAACAGTGCATAAAAAGTGTTTTTTATACTTATAAAATCAACAAAATATGTCATTTGGCCAGGGGGGCAAAACTTTTGCATACAACTGTATAATTGATTCATTTAATCAAAGTAACAATAAAATGCAACTGATGTGTAAAGTGTATTCCTTCATGCATTTTCTTGGTCAAAGTAGTTTGTGAGACAAAATAAATAAAAGTCAACACATTTTCCGCTCTGATAGGTGTTTGCATTTTACATATCAAATGAACAGAACAACAGCATTGAGACATTGTGTTATTAACAGAGAACAGCAATTAAATGACAGAAAAAGCAACACTTTTGTGTCGGCCTTAGTGTTAAAAGCATAATGTCCCCACCAAAGTAACTTGATTCTGTGTAAGCATTACATTATGGACATGATATACATAGCATTTCTGTATTTGTGTATGTATGTGTTCCCCATAGCTGGGTAAAGCTTGCGCTTACTCCTTTTTTATAACATTGTAAGTGGCTTAACTTTGTTTAAACATGTACACCAAGTTCTGGTAATAAACTCAGATAAGAAAAATGAAGACAAGTATTTCACTCATTTACACACACATTTTCTAAGACACTTAGCTGGAGCCTATCCCAGCGCTCATTGGGGGAAAGGCAGGAAATGCCCTGGACAGGTCGCCAGTCCATCACAGGGCAGACAGACAGACGTACACATTCACACCTAGGGGCAGTTTAACATCTCCAGTTCTATTGGAGACACGGAAAGAACATGCAAACTCCACACAGAAAGGACCCTGGTCGCCCGGTCGGGGAATCGACCCCAGGCCCTTCTTGCTGTGAGGTGACAGTGCCACTGTACCACCCTATTTCACTCATTTACAGTTAAAAATAAATAAATAAAATAAAAAAAATATTCCAGGATAGTTGCATCAGCCATGCTTATTGTTTTTCAGATTGTTTGCCTACATAGCAAGATATCAATTGAACCATAGCTTTAGTGCCATAAAAGTCTGAATAACAAATGTAATATTGTGGTCGTGAGATTTTTTGCACAAATTTCAGTCCTTACTTAATTAACATAATTAGTGAGAAACACTGACATAATATAATAAATAAAAATGTTTGTAAATAATTTGAATTTAACAATTGAACAAAGCACCATCTCGCAGCAAGGTGTGTTCATGTGTTCATGCGTGTGTGTCTGAGTTCAGTATTTGGCCGTACGTCTCACCCCCCAATGTTTAAACCAAACTTGCACCCATGAGTTTGGTTAACCAGGTACTTTAGCATATCTAGTTGTCGTGTGGGCCTGACTACAATACCTTACAAAACAACATGCTTCAAATCGTGCTCTTTGTCTGAAAGGACCCTACTACTTTCAAAATAATAGATCTTCACCATTCCTTGGGTGAAATTTCATTTGTTTTGAAAGCAGACATTTAGGAAGAGAGTTGAAAGTTCTATCTGGAGGAAGCACAGTGCGCTGAACCTTTGCCAAGCGAGCTCCTGTATGCTTTCATTTTAGATCGTAGTGGGTAACTGACATAGCTGTGGAGTTACCCAGCTGTACACAGGTGTGAGTAGTTCTCCTGAAGATTAATAATCCAGTGTTTCAACCTTGTATTTGTTTACCAGAGCTCGAGAGGGTTTGCTTATATTTGTACCTTTTACTTGTGCTTGAAGGTTTTTTGATCAATTTGACAGTGGGCTAAAATGCTGTGGAGAAGTTGTGTTTAACAGCTGAGAAGCCCTCCTCTTGTCCAGACAGACCTTTCTACAGTTCTTAGCTTGCAACAAGACAGAACAGAGTTATATCTGTGTTGCATCTTTGCATGCCATGCAGTAGATGATCACTGTGTTAGTGGCTAAATTGTTATTAACTCTTCGGATCAATTGGCTTTTGGTGACACATATGATCTTCCTCTAGATTAAGACTAATCCTAAACCTAGACTACAAAGTATTTAGAAGTACAAACAAAAAAAAAAACAATTCAAACTTTCCTGAATGCCTACCATGTCACATTATTCTTTATTTGAAGAAAAAACTAGGCCTAAAACTAAATAGTTTCTTAAAAGATATTGGCCTCATTAACCAACCATTCTTAAGAAGAAATTTCATCTTGAAACCCACTTACACAGTTTTCAGGAAGATTCTGACATTCATCAGTGTTTTCTTATTTGGGATTTGTTCTTAGGTAAGAACAGAATCCACACACACTCAAGAGCACAAAGGTGCGAACAGTTTGAGGACACATCATGAATCTGATGTAGACTTTTTCTTAGGACCTTTCTCAAGAACACATTTAAGAAAAAAAAACATAGACATTGATAAATTAGGCCCAGTGTTTTAAACTGCTACAACTCAAAGTTGGGACTGTATGTGAAATATTAATGAAGACAGAAAGCAGTAAATTCTTGTATTAAATTAAAATTACGCTGACTTTTGAACTTTACGCTGGTAACAGTCTGGATGGTCCTTTACTTCTTTGGTTTAGAAGACATGATGTGAATGGAACGACAAACAGTGTTTATTGACAACAGTTTGTCAAAGTATTCCTGAGCCTGTGTGGTGATATCCATGCCATTAGCAAGGCCCTCATGAACTGAATTCAGAGCGTTAGATGATGGTAAATGCTAATTTCAGCAGCACTTTAGCCCAGAAGGTCTCCAGTTTGACATGTCTGGCCTAAATCATGATTTGCTTGTTTTCTTTTCCAAAGGTACATAATACAACTTCTAGAGAAAAGTCAAAATCTTGAGAAAAGAATTATTTTGACATACCTAAAATTTGAACCAGAATCAGAGAAAAAAAAAAATCTCACCTGCAGAAAGAGGCTTGCATACACTGTTAGAAATAAAGGTTCTGTGCAGGTACATTTTTCGTTCATCGAAGTACAAACAATGTAAATGTTCCCTCAAAGGTACAACAGTGGTTTTAAGGTCTGATTGTGAAACTTAAATAAGTTTTCCCAGGTGAAAAGCACATATTTGTACCTTTTCATAACCTAATGTTTAAAAACAGAACAATAAAATAAAAAGCCTGGAGATGAGACGGGGTGTTTGGAGTCAATACAACTTGGATAATATAATTTCAATGGGTTATGGTACAATTATGTTCCCTGACTAAAGGTACTTAGATGTACCTTTGAGGGCACCACACCAGTGACAGGACGGGTACTGCCCCAGTGACCGTTTACTACCTTTTTTTCTGAGAGTGCACCAAAAGAACTTGAGCCAAATACTTGGTTATACTGCACTGCTCATATGTTAGTGACAAAGTTGAGCCTGTGTTTTTTTGTATGGTTTGTATAATTCATAAATCTGTGTCTAAATATGATGTTTCAAAAAAATACACCAACACCAAAACAACAAAAATGTGCACTGTAATCTGTTTACATATGTGACCACTTATAGAGCTGATTTGCAGGGCGTTGCCGCAGGGAGTGAGCCATTATGAGAGAGGTTCCTGTTGGTGAGTCGAATACTCCGACTAAGACCATTGGTGCCAGACAAAGTTTCTGTGGTACGGTCTACAGTGTGCAACAAGACAAGATGCAGCTGAAACGATTTGCTGTGTTTCTGTTTGCCATGCAGTGGGCGGATGTCACATTAGCGGGTGAGTTTTCAAGTGTTTCAGCTAAGTTCAGTAGTGGTCACTGTGGTCTAATCTCAGTTACTGTTGCTTTGTGTGGAATATAGAGTGGCTTTCGGAGGGACAATGCAAGATGCTGCCCACTGTGGCAGATGTATTTGTGGGATCATAAAATCAGCCCCATTAAGTTATTCTTTGTCTATCTTAGCGTTAACTGTGTTTTAAGATTTTTTTCTGACCACTTGTACATTAGTGGACATAAAAAAGATTTCTTATCCTGAGCTGCCTCATACTTTCTGACGGCAGCCAACAAGGCCTAATGTCCACGCTCTCAGGTTGAGAGAACAGCTGGAAGAGAAGGCGGCTGAGGCGGAGGCATGGCAATCGAGGAGGGCTTTGTGCTAGGCTAAGATCTTGTGCAAACCAGATCCATCTGCTAAACCTCCTGCCAGTAAATGTGCATCCACTTGAAAACAAGATTAAATAACTAAGAGCCATGATAATGTCTCAGGGGAAAATGGGGACTGGTGTGTTCTGAGGTCTATACTGCCACATCTGGTATTAATAACTTTGTGTTGTCAACACAATGACTTTTCATCTGTGGAATTGTTGTTGGCCAGACCATGGACCCAGACACTGTATTTATCCTTTTAGGGGGTTAATAACTTTCACTTTCCACAAATGTTTCAAAAATCCAAAAAATTAAATGGTTAAGATGTAAACAAAGTCATTCAGAGTGGTTTGGTGTGAAATGCTCCATTTTAGAGAAACTTGCCGAATTGTTCACAGTGGTGGTGATAGGAACCAAACGTCCACCGCTAGATGCTCCCTCACAGAAAGTTATTACATGAAATGGTTGTGAAAACACTGCATGATGTCTGAGACATTGTTTTATTCTAGTTTTGTGATAAAGTTTTGCCTTAAAATGTATTTGAATCCATTCTTGGTGGAGGGGTACATGCAGGGCGTTGTAAGGCAAAATAGCCCCCAAAGAAAACTTATTTTTCAGATTTTACTATCATCAATTTTACATGAAAAAACTCAAAAGAGGTGTAAGTTCACTTGTGGTTTTGGATAGTAAATAAAATAGCTATATTTGTGTTGTGTACATCTGTGACACCTGGTTCCCATCACCACCACTGTAAAGAAATCTGAGTCTTTAAGTTTCTCTACAACGAACCATTTTACACCGAACCACTCTGAATGAATCTGTTTACGTCTCAAGGACTGAATTATTCAGAATTTTTTTTAAAAATTGGTGGCATTCCACTTTAAGAACTGTTTTACCCAAATACAGCATTTTGATTTTCCAGATAATCAGCAAATTATCTTGTTTCAACTGTACAGCAAAGTTTAAGACTGCATGTTGGCCACTCTGACCACTTATCCATGTTTCTAACAGCATCATCTTATAGCTACTTGAGCGAACTACTCCAGTGAGCAAAACAATCAGAACTTTGAGGAGAGATGTGTTTCAAGGCTGGACTGAATACACTGACTAGAAGGTGTTTAAAGGTTCTGTTGTGCAAAAGCATGGGTACTTGAGCACTTGGTTAACCTTTTGAGGTGCCAATTTTAGTGAAACCTATTCTGGTACTACTAATACCAACAAAAAAGACAGAAATGGGCTAAATAAGAGCATCAAAAAAAGTTAAGAAACTATTTGGCAAACCCCGTCCTGAAAGGCCAGTGTCCAGCACAGTTTACTTTTTGTTTTTATGCCTCTGAACTGTGGAACCCGCCTCTCACTTGTGCACTTTTAAGAAAACATTTGAAAGCATTTTTCTTTCTTTTAGCTTTTAATTAAAGGTTTCCCTTTGTTGTGTTTATCTGTGTTATTGTCTCACTTTAGTTGCATTGCTATTACATTTCATTTAATCTACTTTATTTTTTTTTATATACTGTTACTGAGCTTTATCATCCATCTGTAAAGCACTTTGAGCTGCTACCTGTATTAAAAGTAGTGATGCATCGATACTGTTTTTTTGCAGTCTAAGTACAAGTGCTTTTTCAGTACTTGCCAATACTGATACCATACTGAGTTACCTGTAGTAGTAGTAGTAAATGAATGCAATGTATCGTAATTGTTAAATCATTAAAATATAGCTGATTTTAAATTAAGTCCATTAGTTGGCTACGCTATATTAGTTACCTTGGATCAAGAAATGCTGCAGTGGAGAAGAGCAGATTTTGTTCCACATCAGAAAAGCTCTTCTGTACAGCTGTGAGTAAAGTATGTTTCATAGTTTTGATCCCCGTGTCTCTTTCAACAACAGTCTCTGTAGCACAGCGAAATCAGGAATCAAATCCACGGCTAACGCATCCAAGGAGCTTACATTTTGAGTTCGACATCTTGTTCGGAGTCTTTTGTTTGGCTGGTTGAGCTGTAGTTGAATGTCCTTTAAAGTCAGACATACACTGTGTCATTTTAGAAATCTTGTACTTTGGTTACTCACACTTTGCTTTGATTAGGCCATCATATACGAAGAACGCCTACGATTTATATACTAATTACAGAGGTAGCAGTAGTGAAGCATCTGAATACATTGAGGTAAATATCTTGTAGATGTACTATTGATACATTACTTACATTAAATAGATTTATGGTTGATGTGGTGCATTAAGTAGACCTTACATCGCTGCTGTCGGAACAAAACCTTGTATCTCCATCTTTGTCGTTTTTCAGTTTTTGACACAATGTGAAAATGCCTGTTGACCGTTACATTGTGTGTAAATTTCATGATGAATGAACCAAAAGAAACGGCCTAAAATGACTTGTAAAAAAGTCTGGTTCCATTGACTTACATTAATAGTAAAGTATGTTTTTTCCTTCTCCTATAAAGTTGAAGGTACTTCCATTACACAAAACCTAACCTTACCCAACCTCGCCCTAAAACTAACCCTCACACTGGTGTCAATCCTAACCATAACTTTAACCTCAACCCAAAACCAGTCCACTAACAGAATGGTGGTATGTTTATTACAGCTTGTAGAGGACATTGAGATGCTCTGTATTGTTACTGAGAGTCTGTTGAGTGTTTATTTCATCTAAAAAGGACCACTCAAAATAAAATGTCACCATTATTATTAGTTAATTACAAAAAAATTGGAATTTATATCAGTGCCCACTTCATGTTTCATGCACAGTAGGGGAATTGTACTTTTTCATATTTGCACTACTGTAGATTCATTTACACTATATATTTCATTCTTTGTCAGTGATACTAAGAATAGAACCACAAACTAAGAAACTTTTTTCGCTGTCTGTTTGTTGCATTAATCCGTATAAGACACATATAATACAATGCCAGTGATTAACCTTATTATGAGTAAAAAAGGTTATACTTTACTCAAAAATAATGTTAGATACAGTACAGAAAGTAAACAAGTTCTTGATTTTGTCTCCATAGGGATTGGACCTCCAACAGAATGCTGCTGGAAGACATCCAATACTCGAATTAGTGTCATCCACATTGTGTCATACGTACATCAAGATCTTTCATTGTGTCCCATCAAAGCTGTAAGGCAAGTTAGACTCATTACAATCCTCTTTGTTAAATAGATCGATGTCCTCTCGATGAATATTTGAAGAGGAATTAGGTTGCATACCTATATGTATACATATATGTATGATCATAGGCAAAAGTTTGAACATCCCTGGTCAAATAACATGTTGGTCTTAATTTAGTGAAAAAAATTAACAAGTTCTCTACAGAGAACACACTTCTGCACATTTTAATGCACAGCTTCTGTTTATTTACTGAATTTAATTATTATTATTTAATTATTGAGGAAAAAATAAAAGAAAAATATTAAGTCCCTGGGGTTGTAAAAGCACCATAACTTTTGCACAGCCATATTTATTTCCCCAATATGGTAAATGTCAGAAGTGTGTTCTCTGCAGAGGACGTGTTGACTTATTTTCATTTAGAAAATCAACAAAAATATGTCAGTTGGCTGGGGTGCCCATGCTTTTGCATACAACTGGAATCACTAATGACTGAAAATATCATTTCACAGGTTTACCACCAAAAATGGAAAAACCATATGCTCTGACCCAGAGAGCAGCTGGGCTAATTTGGCCATAAAGATGATGGATACAAGGAAAAGCACCCAAGCTTCTCCAGAAGATCCAAGCTTCATCATAGAAGACAATCCAAGAGAGGAGCTCACCACCACACCAACATATACCGATAAGGATCCACCAGCTCAGAAGCAGACAGCAGTGCTGCCTTTAACGCTCACTCCATCTCTCGCATCAACACATACACAGAATCCAAGTGAGTCCACTATCACAACAACAGTGACGAAGGAGGCTCCTGGAATTACCATACTGCCATGGACACTGAGACGTTTAAAAAAGAAGAGCAAAAGTGGAGTTAGAAAAGCACAGAGGAGAAGAGATTAACATTTACGGAATGTTGATGACCAATCAACATTTGTATGCAGCTTTTGTCTTTAGATACATGCATAAGTGAAAACTTAGTATAAAGTATAAAAAGTATAAACTTCTTTCTCTTTTTTGTCTGCCTTGAGCTCAGTACCACAACAGAAGAGCTGATGGAGCTACTGCGACAGGCTGCCGCTAGCACACTGCCATTTTGAAAAGATTCTACTTTGACCTTATTTGTTTATATTTTATATTGTCTTGGTCATTAATGTAATCATTATGGTGATGACTGCAGTCACATTGACATCAAACGTAATTTTCATTTGAAATTTTTCATGTAATTGGACTCTCTAGGATGTTCCAAAATGAAAAATAGATAATTTAACAGCTGTTTGTTCATTTTAATATGGCTGTATTTTCATACAATATCAGTTACTCTTCAGTTTATTAATACAAATAATAATATCTATTTAGGTTCAATAGTGTTAAATATGTAGTATAGCTTTTTCTGCTCATCATTCGTAAAAGCGTAAAATATTATTTTAATGAGCATGGACCATTCTACTAAATTAGTTCAAGTGGTTAAGAATTAAGTTTTCAGACCTTAGATTTTTTATAAAAAAAATTATTATGATCTGTTTAAACTCAAGGCCTTAATAGAGACAGTAATAAGCTAAACATATACAAAATCATCATTTACAGGATATTTTCTTTTTTTTTAAGACATTTTTATCTATTTCAAATGGAAGTTGAATGATTTACATTCATCATAAGTTATATTTTCAAATACAAAAAAATGCGGTCCCAATATTTTCATGTCACTACTGAAACGCTAAGAGTTTTAGTGTGTGGGTGGAGCCTCATTTAAGCCACACCCCTGTATTTTAGAGCAGGAAGTGAGGCTGCATCCCTGTCCCTCATGTCCACATGGTGAGCAGTTAGATCCCATTGTTTTGAAGTAAATCTATCCCAAAGTCTGAAATCAGTGTGGACCATTAAGACTTTACATTACTTTATGTGTTGTGTTCAAAGGTGTACTGGCTGTATTTTTAAATTCTGCTCAAATGTTGAAGTTGTCAGTTTTTAATTGTTAATAATTATTCTGACTTTGTACCAATTCATTAGAATGATCCAAGTATGATCTTTCTATATGTACCAAAAGTGACACAATGAAAGAAATAACAGAATAAATGAACTGAGATGCTTCCAGACAGCGATGCTGCATAATACAATTAAAGGGGAATTCCACTGATTTTCACAAAATCCTGGTATAATTTAATCACTTAGATGTAATCAAAGTCATTCAGAGTGGTTTGATGTGAAATGGTTTATTGTAGAGAAACTTACTGACTCAGATTTCTTTACAGTGGTGGTGATGGGAACCAGGGGTTCTGATGTCTACGACACAAATATAGCCATTTTATTTACTATCCAAAACCACAAGTGAAACTACACATCTGTTGAGTTTTTATGTAATGTTGATGATGTTAAAAGAGTGGAAAATCTGACAAAAAAAAAATCTTTGTGGACTATTTTGCCTTAGAACACACTGCACATACCCCTCCACCATGAATGGATTTTAAAAATTCTGTGAGGCAGCTTTCAGAGGTGGACGTCTGGTTCCTATCACCACCACTGTGAATAGTTCTGACACGGTGTCTCTAGAACAGAGCATTTCTTGCTCTGTGGCATGTATAAAAATGCTGAGCAGACCCAGTTGACCAGTTTTGGATCAAGATGACAAGAAGAAAAGTTCTAAGTGACTGATCATTATTGAGGCATGGGGCTTCAATCAGAAAGACTGCTCATCTGGCTAGTTTAACAGTGACTAAATTGAGACCTACATTTAGATCTATGAGTGACCCAGCAGTAAATATGGTTGGAAACTGTGTAATAAGAGCAACTGTTTCTCAGATGACAATGTAAAAACCTCCAGCACTGGTCTGCACAGATGTGGAAAAGAGTAATGTGGTCAGATGAGTCATCCTTCACCTGATTCTGCATGAGTGGGTGAGGGTATGTGCGGCGTACACCAAGAGAACAACGGTACAGACTAAACGTTTGACCCCTACAGTGAGGGGCTTTGGAGGCTTTGCTGTCGGCACGGTTTAGATCCACATGTCCTCTTAGAAGGAAAAGTCACTACAAGTCCAGATTGATCATCTTTATAAATATTATGAATGAAACATTTCGATCCTGATGGTCAGTGGTCTCTTTGAGGATGACAGTGCATCCATCCACAGGACAGAAGGGGTCACTGAATGGTTGGATGAGTATGAAAATGATGTAAATCATATATTATGGCCTTCAGAGTCACCAGATGGGAGCAGCAATGGAACATACCTAATCTATCATCACCCAAAACACCAGGGAACATCTTCTGGAAGAATTTCA